ATATCTCCAATGGTTTTTTAAAACAAAAAGAAAACTAGGGAAATGCAGAAATTTCTCCTTTGTCACACTCATAAAAAGCAGTTTGAAAATTTTGTGGTCAAATATGTACCACAGAACACTTTTTAACCATTTTTGGCCTACAGTGCTGTGGAGTCAGGGCCTTGACGCTGTGCAGACATCATGACCGGGCCCCTCCAGAACCGTCTCGTCTTCCCACGGTGAGACTGCCCATTAACGGCAGCAGCCACCACTCTGTCTCTGTGGCCTTGATTATTTTAGGGACCTCATGTAAGTGGTAGAAAATCTGCACGCCGAGTGTGATGTCTTCAAGTTCATCCCGGCTGCAGCAGTGTTAGGACTTCTTCCTTTCGGGGATTAACGACACTGAATGTGTCCAGCATGCTCCATTTATCCACCCACCCCCGATGGACACCTGGCTGGCTTCCTCCTTTCTGCTCTCCTGAACGGTGCAGCTCTGATCGCGGTTGTGCAAATGTCTGTCCGCTTCTCTGCTTCCAGCTCTCGGTGCAGTGTCTGGAGTCCGTGGTGACTTCACACGCCGAGGACCTGCTGGGCTGTTTTCTGCAGTGGCAGCGCACAGGGCTTTCCTCTCGTCCTCACACTTATTTTCCTTACTTCCTCGGTCCTCACTCTGCTGTCACTTCGTGGATTCTTAGCCTCAGGTTTGATACAAATCTGACACGGGCCTGTTCTTGAGTCACCAGTGTCACTGTTGTCCACCCTCTTCTTTAGGTACCGGCAAAGTACCCACAGTCCCTATACTGGCTTCTGACATGATGCTCATTAGCCAGGGGTTCTTGCTCAGTTCAGGTAGAAATCGTGAATTGGCCAAGTGTAGCTCTTTGAGCATTAGTAGCCCTAGACTTCGAACGCCAGTGGCTATCAGGTTTCAGTGTCAGTGACCCTCCTCGCCTCTCAGAGCCAGCAGCTGCTGGCCTTGGGGACTCTGATGTGGCTCTCAGGAATTCTCCATTTCTCTCCATCCTCTCTGCTGCTGGCTGCCTTCAGGGTCACGGGCTCCAGCTGTTCACGGCACCAGTGGACTTTGGCGTTACCAGCTCAGCACTGCCTCTCTGTGATAAAAATCACAGAGAGGCAAAGATATGCCACCTGGAATAGACTTCATAAGCACTTACACTGCACCGTAGAGGGCTGCATCTGCTGAGGTACGAGGAGGCTGCTTACGTGGGAGGAAAGGCAGGCTCACACATGTGCAGTGTCAGATGGATTCACAGGTAGGGGAGGCTCCCTGGCAGACTTAGCTGATGAGGATATTGCAGTAATCCAGAGAGGCTGGAGTGCTCTGAATAGGTTGTATTTGAGCTGCAGCCAAAGCAAATGTCTATCGGAGCAGCTGTGGGGCTCCTGGTAGAGCTGGGCGGGCTGCAAGGCATTTGGGGCAGCTGTGGAAAGAAAATAAAAGCACCTCTTGGGGAGCTTGGGTTCTTCTCTCCTGTCACCCTGAGGCATGTGGTGTTGAATTTACACAAGCAGAACACACTTCCTTTCTCCTCCAGCCCTGCAGGGACAGAGGGGAGCCGGGCTTGGGCCTCCAGGGAGGAGAGAGGGGAGGGCCTCACAGTGGGAGCCAGGTGTGGGTTCTTTTATGTCCTTGAATGCAAATAGGTTTCGCATGGTTAATGGTTGAGGCTGCAGCACAAGAGTCACCTAGCAGGGGCTTCCGTCACAGCTTTGCGGATCCCTAGTCCCGGATGTGACTTTGTCCATGGGAAATCTGAAGGAAAATGTCTGCTGTGCAGCCAGGGTAGAGACTTAGGACTCCCTAGAGAGGGATTTTGAAATGTGAGCGGGTCACAGTCCCTTGGAGGGTGTGTTAAAATGCAGGTTGCAGACTCCATCTCCTTGGTGTCTGACTCAGTGGTTCCGAGCTAAGACTGAAGAATTTGCACTTTTACGAATCCCTGAGTGACGTGGCCGCTGCTGCCCGTCCAGGAACTACCTAGAGAATCAGGACTCTGCAGCTGCTCGGTCCAGCGTGGGAGGCACTGACCACACGTGGCTATTTAAACTATGTTAGTGGAAATTAAATGAACGAGTCCGTTCCTCATTCGTAGTAGCCCATGTGGACAATGGACAGCATTGGTGTAGAACTTTTCCAGCATTTTGGCCGTGTTAAGGTTTGAACCTGAGCGCTAATGCTTACTGGCCTTGTGAATTGGGACAAATGACTTCGTTTTCCTGTGCCTCAGTATCCTCTTCTGGAAGAGAGAGAGAGAGAAGAATCCCTACCTCATACCCAGGGTTGGTGGTGAGAATTCAGTGATTTAATATGAAAAACTGTGTGGGCAGTGCCTGGCTTGTAGCCTTCACCATTAAATGTTTATTATTGTCATTAATATAAAAAAGCGAGTGGTGCTGGAGGAGTTTGTCATGTGTGAGGGTGGCAGGTAAGTTTCAGGGGCTGCCAACTTAGCTCCTTTGGTAGTCGTGGCTGCCTAGGTGCAATGTGAAGGGTTCTGGGAAATGGCCACACTGTGAAAGAAAGCACATCATGATTGTCTAGTGCTGTCCACCAGGGAAGAGGGTGGGACTGTTGGTAGTGCCTTGGGGGAAATTTTTGCTCTCCTTCCCTGAAGGGATTGCACTCCAGGAAATGGGGTGATCTGAGTTAAATTGTTTGGTTTGTGTGTTGGGGGTCAGCCCTTTGTGTCATAGCCTCACGCGTGGTCCTGTTATTGTGTCAACCAGGCAGGGCCCGTGGAGGTCCCCCTAAAGAGAGATGGTGACCTCAACTTGGCCTGCACTGATTCTTGATGTCTCGTAAGAGAAAAGCATTTCTGGATGTGACCGTGTGAGGCATAGGTGGATTTATTAAGCAGAGTTAGAAAATAAGCAAACGAGGGAACGGACCTCAGCCAAGGAGCTGAAGGAGGCTCAGCTCTGATGGAGATGGTTGGACCAGCCCACTTGTTCACAGAGGAGCGAGGCCAGATTTTATGGAGGGGCTGGCGTAGGCCAGGGTTGGGTTGGTCACTGTCTCTGTTCTGATGTGCAGGAGGGCTCTGCGGGCGTCTTGTTGCTTCAGGGGCGATCTGGTCTCCGTGAGGTACTTGTTTCCACTGGGCACAGTCTCAGTCTGGCGGAGGCTCTGCTGGAATCCAAGGTGGCTTAGGACAGTGACTGGAGACTCCTGAGTGCTCACTGGTGGCTGAGTGTCCCTCAGTCTTGGAGGAGGACGTGTTGTGTGAATTTAGGGCTCATCAACTTTGTCCCACCAGCTTCGAGACAGACACTCCCTGCAGGGTTAACCTGCCTCCACGCAGAGCTGAGCGGGGATCTGAGCCAGAGTTGTCAGGTAATAAGAAGACAGCTGCAAAATGAAGGCCACGCTGTGTTCTGTGTCTAGTTCCCTGCTGGGCATCTGTAGGCCAAGTAAAGAAACACTTTTTTTGTTTTAAAGAAGCAAAAGCAGCTTTTAAGCCCCAACTGCCTCAGAAGAAAACACAAATCATTTTTAATGAGTAACAGCTTTCGGGTGTGGACATGTCCTGCTTCTTGTGCCCATGGTGGTCTCTGCCTCTGTTGGATGCTGGCTGCCCTTGGAGGCAGTGGTGACCTTGGCCGAGGCTAGGTCATGAGGAACACCAGAGAGGGGTGGTGCCGAGAGCGGCTGGCTTCCTCAGCTCCGGCCGTGGGAAGTTGGTGTTCTGTGCTGGCCTGGGGTGGGCTGGGGCTGGGGTCGTGGCACTAGGAATCCAAAGGAGCTCGCTGGCCCTTGGCTTGTGTGGTCTTAGCCGAGACCTGTGGGCCAGGAGAGCGTGGGTGTCCCAGGTACTCAGTGTCCTACGCTCTGGCTCTGGTCTGCCCCACTGGTCCCCGAGCAGCTGCCCACACTGTTTCTGAAGCTGGGCGAGGGAAGCTTTGCCCTGTTGCAGCCTGGGCTCCTGAGGGGACAGTGACTTCTCCATTGTGCCCAGCCTGGCCCAGGCCCTTTCCTGCCTCCTCTCTGGCAGCTGCCCTGTCTGCTGGCTTCTCACCCAGCCAGCCCCACTCCCAGGGGCTTTCTGCCCTTGTGGAAGCGGAGTTGCTGCCCTGGGATGGGTGGGGCAGGGAGCATCTTGCCAGTCGAGGGTTTGGATGTCCAAAAGGCCACCAGAACTAGGGGAAGGCAGGAGCTGTACACTGGGCCGGCCTCCTCCAGAAAGAGCCACTGGGTGGTAGCGTGCTGCTCCCTTCCGAAGGTGACAACAAAGGCCAGGTTGCTGGTGTTAGGGACACTGGGCCATTTTCCGCCTAACCTGGAGCAGCTCCCTTTCCTGGCCGCACTGCTCTCTCCAGCCTGCCAGGTGCTTGTCTCTGGGCAGAGAAGTCTGGATCTCACGCCCGTGACCATCCTACCCTCCTGACCTCTGTGCCCTCCGAGTGTGTGCCATGCCCTGAGGCAGCCTAGGGGAGCAGTGTGGGCATCCTGGGCTGGAATCTAGGTCTAGCCTGCACCGGGCACCAAGCCTTCCTGCCCCCCAGTTTCCTCGTGGAAAATGCAGATAATAATGGTATGGTCTCGTGAAATGTTTTAAACCAGCGAGCTGCACCAGAAACTCCTAGAACTATGTCCTGCACCTGATGGGCACCAGAAGGCTTCAGCTGTAGTTATGGTTGTCACTATTATTAATCTTTGCCCCTTTTCCTGGGAGCCTCACACTCTCTTAAACTGTACTTGGGACCAGCTCGTTGAGATAACTGTGACCAGCCCTCTTGGCAGTATGGCTGTTTTGGAATTTGATTCCAGCCCAGCTTTGCTGCTGCCCATGGGGCACCTGTTCCAAACCCCGGGGCCAATGACATGCTCTATAGGGGCAGGACATGGTGACACAGACAGTGTTACAGCCTGGACAACGCCCAGAGCAGCACAGCACATAACAGGCTCAGGTGCTGTCCACTCCTTTCCCTGCCCCTCTCTGGTGACCTCCTCTTACATGTCGTGTGTGTGTGTGTGTGTGTGTGTGTGTGTGTGTGTGTGTGTGTGTAGTACCGGGGATCGAACTCGGGACCTTGTGCTTGCAAGGCAGGCAGCAGAACCACTGAGCCAAATCCCCAGCAACCTTCTCTTCTTTGTACCCCTGTGCATGTCCCCTGAGGCTCTCTGGACTCCTAACGCTGTTCCCCCCACCCTGGACCTTCCACAGGACCTGTTTCCCCGGCCATCTGGGGCTAGCAGCCTCAGTGATGGGGCATCCCCGTCCCTGGCTGCTGCGGATTCTCAGCCGCATGTAAGATGGACGCCTCACCCGGGCTGGTTCTCGAGCCTGCTGGCGACCATCAACGTAGTCTTTCTTCTTGCAGACCTGTAGAGGGGAGGGTCCTTGGATGGGCTTCCGAGACGTTACCAAGTGGCCGGAAGTTCTCACTCAGTTTTTATAGACATCACGAACTGGCCAAGGGTAATTCTTTTAGTGTTAATGGCTCTGAACTTTGGATGCCTGTGGTTATTCGTTCTTTTAGCGTTAATGGACTTGCTTGCCACTTAGAAGCAGAGGCTGCAAGCAAGGCTTGGGGTATCTTCCAGCCCCTGAAAGTGGTGGCTTCCATTTTTCCACTGTCGTCTGTCATTCTCTGGTTGCTGGCTGCTTGCAGTGTGACCGGCTTGGCCATTGTCACTTTTGATGCCAGCAGACTTCGGTGTTAGCAGCTCTTTGTGTACCAGCTTGGTCTTCTTCTCTCCTGGAGCTGGAAATCAGGAGCAGGTAGGAACATCCAGAGGCCCAGTTAGGCCTCAGGCTGCAGCATAGGGAGGAACAGCCCGTGGGCTGAAACTGCCGAGGAAGATGGATTCCATATATGGGAAAAAGGTGGGGTCCTGCATGAGCCGAGTCGGGCGTTCTGTGTGGTCGTGGGCAGAGGAGGCTGCCCTTGTGCACCTAGTTAAGGAGGGTGGAGCCAGGCAAAGTCTGCAGAGGCGGGAGTCCAGGGGAGGCCCCGGGCTGGAGCCTGCCGCCTCTCACACAAATGCTCCTGGAGTCGCTGTGGGGCGCTTGCTGGGCTGGGCCCGCTTCAGAGTGTTTGGACGACTGTGGAAGGAAGGCTGTAGGACCTCTCGGGGAGCCTCGGACCCTGCTCTCCTGTCTCGCCCTCCACCTGGAGCCCTGTGTGTTCTGCTCTCGGTTGGTGCTCAGTGAAAAATGGTGAGCCGGTGTTTTCCTGACGGGACACTGGTGAGGCTGACGGGACGGGCTGCGTCCTGTACTACTGAGCCCCCGGATTGACAGAGATGTTTTGTTTCTTTCCCCCCTCTTCTCTCTTATAGCATCAGCCTCCGAGAGTTGAAGGCCATCTTACCCCTGGTCAATTTCAAAGTGAGCAGTGCCAAGTTCCTCAAAGATAAGTTTGTGGTAAGTTTATTAGCTCAACCTGGGCATTTTATGATGTCAGGGCTGCTCAGCAGCTCTCCCCGGAACCCAGGATGGCCTTGGAGCCCTGTGTGATGGTCCCCGAGGGTCCTTTGCCTCCAGAGTGCGTCTGACCTGTCCAGCCGGTAGGGTCATGGAAATAGGTGAGGACCGTGTTCCCAGTCCCCACAGAGGATGCAGTCAGTGAAGACCGTGTGTGCTGGGCTGTTTGACTTGGAACGTCTACACTCAGACCTGTTTCCACCAGGCCATCTTTCACGGTTCCCCTGACCTCCCACAGCCTGCTTTCTTCCTGGAAGTATGAGCGCATGTGTATCTTTTGCAAAACATTGTGAAAGATCCCTTGTGTAGGGTGCCGGGGACGGGGCACTCCATGTGCAAGTCCGGGTAGGGTGCTTGTCAGGGTTGGCTGTCTTCCCTTCCTCTTTTCCTCCCCCAGCTGCCTTTCCACTCATCACTGATGTTCTTATATAATCAGCCTGTTGGTTGAGCAGGTCAGGGAAGCCACTCCAGGAGTGGTGGGATGTAGCGGGGCAGGGGGGCCTTTTCCAGGTGGGGCAGGGACAGATGGAGGTCATGAGTGAGCACTGATACTGACTCTTACCAGAGAGTGAACCCTCCACCCCGGGGGCCCCAGGGCCCATGCCAGCCATCTCGCCTAGGATGCCTCTGCTGGAGAGGTTCATTTTCCTATTGCATGAGTGAGCTCATTTCAGTGGCCCATTTCACTGCTGGCCTGGCCATCCTTTGACCTGCTCCCACCCTAACCTTCCGCACTAATTCCCACGAGAAAGAGACGGGAGGGATTTAAGGAGAAAGATGGGACGCGCATTTCCTTTGATAACCATGTCATGGGAATAGTGTTCTTTATCAGGCATTCTGGAGTCAGGCATTTTGAAGATATTATCTTGTTTGGTTTCAAGAAAGCCCTAAGAGGGTGCTTTCCCATTTTACAGATGAAGAAACTGAGGGTCCAATGGGGTAAAGTATAAATGTTTTGATTCGACAACAACAACAGAAACCAACCAACCAAACAAACAAAGAGGGTGAATTATCTAATGCAGTTGATCTAGCCGATTAAGTCAGATTTTTAAAAATTTGTGCTTTGAAAAATAATTTTTAAGTACAAGCCTTATAGATCCGTCTGGACAAAGACACCTGAAGGCAGTGTCTGCTGTGCAGAAGAGGAGGAGATGTCCATTATGACTTTAGGAAGCGAAGGTTTTTCCTTCCTAGGGCTAAAAGATGGGGGTCCCTGAAGATCTCCCAGACCGGTGAGTTGGAAAACTCACGGATAGGTTTGGTTTAGAGCAGTGTGAGTTTGATTTCAGTGGAGTTGCGGAGCAACCGTTCTGTTTTTGGAAACTGGCTGGAGGCTTTCTCACGGTGGACTTCCAACATGGTGTGGTCTTGTTTTTTCCCTCATATTTACAGGAAATTAGTGCACACAAAGATGAACTCAGCTTTGAACAGTTTCATCTCTTCTATAAAAAACTTATGTTTGAGCAGCAAAAACTGGTAAGAAGATCCTTGAACAAACGATCAAATGATGTTCTCTCTTCCTTATACTGCAGAGTCTGGTACATATCCGAGAAACCCCAAATAATCTCCCCGTTAGTCAAGGAAATGCCAGTAACATGCTGATTTCATTTATTAGCTGGGCAGAAATGTTTTAAACATGGTAGCGCTGTGAGGAAAAGGTGTGTGTATTTCCCTCCTTCATGGGAACAGGAATGGCCATAGGTTCAGCTAGAACTTAATCTGAATCTATTAAAGTTTTTTAAAAAATGCTACCAAGTCTGCTGTAATCTGGAAGGAAATTTAGCAAATTATTCCTAGTAGCCATCTCCAAATTGAGAGATTATGTGTGTTGTTGCTTTTTATATTTTTTTAGATTTCTCTGAGGACTTTTTTGATTAAAAAGATAGACTATTTTGAAATTCAAATGCACATACATTTTGATCTGAAGGTGGCATTTCAGGCTGGCCCAAGATGTATTTGTATTTCAATCAATTTTGGGGCCAGGGATTTAGATTTAGCTCAGTGGTTCTGGAACCTGCTTCACAAGACAAGGACCCAAGTTCGATCCCCGGTACCGAAAAAAAAAAATCAATGTGTATTTTATATTATGTCTCTCTTTAAAGTGAGCCCGGGAGCAAGGTTTGCAGGATTCTGCAACTTTGTGTGGGAAAAATACAGGTTGTACCCCTAGTGGCCAGAATGTCACATTGCGCCTACATTCGGCTGTCCTTGGGGTGTACAGTGGTTTAAGTATTTTCACAATGAACTGTCTACATTTAAAACTTGGGAGATTGGGCCGGGGCTTTGGCTCAGTGGTTCTGCTCCCTGCCTTGCAAGCACAAGGGCTGAGTTTGATCCCTGGTACCAGAAAAAAAATGTGTTAAAACTTGGTAGATTGTATATTAAAATCCAGATTTTTGGCTTCTATGAAAAAAACTGAAATCTTTCAATGAAAGGGGGCCTCATTACCCTTGCGAAGTCTTGCAGAAAGGAGTGCACACTCTTGGTAGCCACGGCTCTGCCCTCTCATTTCCATTGTCCGCGTGGCTGAGCAGAAGTTTTGAGTTGGCAGTGATCGATCTTCCCCGGTGTTCTAGTTTCTAACGCTGCAGTTTGGCCCCTGCCTCCTTCACTTCAGTATTTTAGAATTTGAATAACAAAACCCCAGTGTGAACAACTAGTTTCCCGCCAATTTGGGAACCCGCCCTGGTCCTGCGGGGCCAGTGCCCCTTCCCTAACTTCTGGCTGGAAGGGGGCAAAAAAAAAAAAAAAAAAAAAAATTTATGGGGTGGGCTGAGTTGGGCTTCTCAGGCGCCTTGGAGAGATGGAGTGCTCTGTGCAGACTGGTGAACCTCAGACTCAACTCTTGGAGTAGGCTCAGCCTTATTAGTAGGTGAATGGGCTATCTGCTTGGGGTTGGCAGTTCCTCCTTCCTTACCTTACAATTTTTTTTTTTTTTTTTTTTTTTTGAAACAGAGCTATGTAGTTGAGACTGACCTGGAACTCACTATATAGCCCAGGCTGGTCTCGAACTCAGTGATCCTCCTGCCTCAGCCTCCTGAGGGCAGTGTGCACCACCACCCCAGGCTACAACTCTTAAGCCTCATAGTTTCTAAAAGTTGAGCAGCAGCAGGAAGAGAAATGCAACTGTGTGTGTGTTCTCCCTTGGTGATGGGTTACATGTCTAGCTAGGTTGTGACGATATCGTTAGGGCTAATGATTACTGACACTTCCTTAGGCAGACTTGTACATGAAGGCCCTGTGCTCAGCATTCACTAAATATTTAATTCTCCCCAGCACCCCAGGAAAGAGACCCTGGGGTTGTCCCCATTTTATGGGGAGCTAAATCCCCAGCCCAAACTTGCTCTGTTTTTGTTATTTATATGAACTTGCTCTATTTTTATTTTGTGTCCTGTAGGTCCCAGTATGTTGCACTGGCATTATCATTTGGTTGTGGGAAATGTCTCATTTCATCTGTGACCCACTGATTATTGAAGAGGATTTTATTTAATATCCGTGTCTTTGCATAGTGTCTGTCATTTCTTTTGACAGTGATCGCAGTATGATTTGATAATACGCGTGGGATAATTTTGATTCTTTTGCATTTATTTAAGCATGCTTTCTGGGCTCTGTGTTCTGTTTTGGAGAAAGTCCCAAGTGCTGCTGGGAAGAGAGTGTATTTTGGTGTTCAATGAAAGCCTCCATAAACATCCATTTGGTCTTATTTATTTGAAGGTTGTGTTCAACTCTGATATTTCTTTGTTGACTTTTTTTTAGTTGATTTATTTGTGACCATGGGGTCTTGATGTTCCCATTACAATTGTATTGCTGTTTATCTGATCTTTCACGTGCAGCGGTGTTCGTTTTATGAAGTTGGGTGCACTGATATTTGGTCTGTATGTGTTTATAATTGTTATCTCTTCCTATTGTACTATTCCTTCATCTAATATGTAGTGACTGTCTTTGTCTCTTCTGAGCAGTTTGGCTTGGAATTTACTGTCTGAAGTTAAGATAGCTTCTCTTGCTTTTTTCTGGGGTCCCATTGCAATCCCCACGAGCCATGAGATGGGAGCTGAGGAGAAAATGCATCTGTCTGTCCCCTTTTCCACGTTGGGTTCTGTCTCTTCAATTTCTCTGCAGGTTTTAATTTTCCTGTCAGATCCTTCTTGTTCCCAGGGATCTAATTCTCCTTTTTTTGCTTCCCCAAGTTATTTTCCACTGTCTGGATCCTGAATCTCAGAGAGAGAGAGAGAGAGAGAGAGTTCTTGCTCAGCACTCCACCATTTTCCGAGAACTCTCCCCACAACGTGGCTTTTCAAGACAGCAAGGCAGGGCTTGGGCTGTTCACGGTGTAGAGGCTGGGAACGAAAGCAAAAAGTTAGAGATGTACATGGTATGAAAAAATAGGATAAGATATAGTTAAGTGAATATTCACAAATCAAACTCTAGTAGGAACCTAGGAAATTATTAATAGTGACTGCTTCTCAGGAATAAGACTGAAAAGGGTGACAATGACATGTACCCTTCACACCAGAAATTTCTGTTACATTTGAAAATTTACAACTAACAAGAATGATGTTGATAATTTTTTGATGACCACGTCTTCTCATTGGCATTACTCGACTTGTCTAATATCTTTATTATGTGTGTTTTCCATTTCAGATTCTTGATGAATTCAAAAAGGATTCCTCTGTGTTCATCCTGGGGTGAGGACCCTTCAGGCTGCTGCCACAGGATGGCTGTGTCCTGTGTCCAGCAGCCTCTGGGAGGGGTCAGCTCTGACCTCCACGGGAATGAGGTCCTGGGCCTGCGCCTGGGCCTGGGCCTGCGACAGCAGCACTGGGCTGCAGAGTTCTGGGTGTTGTCAGGGTTCCGGGCCTCAGGGTCTCCTTTCTGACTGTGCGTCTCTGCACTTGAAGAGTTCATAGGTTTCTCACAAGCATCAGTGGTGCCAGTGGGCAGAGGAGTCTGGGGAATTCCTTGCTCAGCAGGTTGGGCAGGATGAGCCTGGGCTGGGCCTCTGGAGCACTTGCCTTAGTGCTCGACCCATGTTCACGGCTCATATACAAAATGATGGTATTTTAGTGGCAGTGCTGCAAGACTGTTCAGGACCTTTCCTAGGCTTTGAGATTCCCTTGGTGAGGGATTTATAAGGCCCTTGTGTTTCCCAAGCCTGTCTGACCGGGGGATGGGTTTGCCACGGAGTTAATGGCACCTAGAGTGGCTGTGGTACACAGACTGAGTTCACGAACAGCCCCAGGACCCCAAAGCCCACAGCGGAGGAGTCTGAGCTCACAGTGCGTGTGGATGAGAAGGCTGGTGTGAGACTTTGGCTGGTTAGGAGGAGACAGAAACAGACTTGGAGGGCCGCCGCCTGCAGGCCTGGGTATTTAGCAAAGGCAGATAGCTGCAGGCACAGTTTGTCTCTGGAAATGGTTTAAAGGGGCTCATTCCCGCCCTCTGCCATGCCCCGGGCAGTGCCCATCCCAGGCAGTTCCACCCTTCAGGATGCATATCCCCTGGGCACCGGTGTGTCTCATGTCAGCTCAGCGAGATCCCAGTGTCTGGGCAGCGTCTGTCTCAGCTGCTGGCCGCAGTGGGGTCCCCCCTGTATTCAGGACGCATCCCTAGCTGGGGCGGAAGAGTTTCCTGATACCGGGCCCTAGCATCGGCTGGCATGGTCCCTCTGTCTTCATGGCCCCGCTCCTGAGGTGCTGCTCAGACCTGGACAGCGCCAGGGCCACAGGAGTGGGCCTCGTCCCTGAGACTCGGGCTCCAAGGCCCTGTGAATCCTTATAGGTCCAGACCTGTGTCTTCACGTGGGCCACGTGGTACCTGGCCGTGGGCAGGGTGGGGGCACTCTGGGGGACAAGGACTGTCTGTGGAATGTGTCCCTAACATGTGTCCCCTTTCCTTGTGTGCAGGAACACTGACCGGCCCGATGCCTCTGCCGTTTACTTGCAGGACTTCCAGAGGTTTCTTGTACACGAGCAGCAGGTGAGAGGACAGCGGGGCTATAGGGGGAGCCGGTGGTGACTTCTGTCCCCTGGTCCCTGCTGTCACAGAGCAGGTGTAGCTTCCTGACCCTAAGAGCTTCCAGTGGTTGTCAAAAGCCACTTTGCTCTTAAAGCACAGCTCTGCATCACTCTTTCAAGGCCCGGGAAGGGGAGCAGCGGGGTGAGGGCCTCTGTCCGGGAAGGCTTCGCTGCTCACAGAAGGGAGGATGCCGGCCAAGCCGCCGGGCTGTCTGGGGGATGAGACAGCAGGGCTGTCGAGGACTCAGCGTCTCCCTAGATGGAGGGCATGGCTGAGGGGCTGTGTGTGGGCGGTTTATGCCCGCCTGACATTCCCCAAACAGCAGCAGTCGCCACACGGGATGCACCTGGTGTCTGCAGGGAGAGGGCAGGGATGCTGCCAGGTGTCCTACGGTGCCCGGGACGCCCCGCCCCAGGGCAGGACCCTGCCGCCTTGTCACTAGTGTCCTGGAGGAGGAGCAGTGTTACAGCAAGGGAAGCCTGGCATCCTCTTACTAGCTGTGTGGCCGTGGGCCGGTAGCTTAACCTTCCTGTGCCTGGTTTCCTCTCTGTGAAATGTGGCGAGAGCCCCCATCTCTCAGAATTTCGGGGAACGCATAATATTGCGGTGTGTGACTATGCACAGCAGAGGCTCATTTGTATTTAAAATTCTTTATATCATTGGCATCTCAATGTGGTTTTTTTTTCCTTATTTATTACCTCTTTTTTTCAATACGAGGAATCGAACTCAGGACCTTGCACTTGCCAGGCAGGCTCAGCAACCTTTTTGTTCTAATAGATAGACTTTAAGCTGGGTGTGTGGTGCATGGCAGTAATCTCAGTACCCTGGGAGGCTAAGGCAGGAGGATTACAAATTCAAGCCCAGCCTGGATAACCTAGAGAGACCCCTGTTCCAAAAACAAGAAAAAGGGCTCGGAGTATAGCTCACTGCAAAGGCCCTGGGTTCAATCCCCACTACTGTCCTTGTTGTTCCCCAAACACACACAAACTGTATTTTGGAGCAGTTATAGTTTGCCACAAAATTAGTTTACTTTTTAAAATAAACTTCGGTGCCGAACATTTCACCCATACGCGAGAGTGACGCGCGGGGATCGTCCGCCTCCTGGGCCGCAGCGGAGAGCGCGGTCTGACTTCGCCCCTTCGTTCAATCCCCACTACTGTCCTTGTTGTTCCCCAAACACACACAAACTGTATTTTGGAGCAGTTATAGTTTGCCACAAAATTAGTTTACTTTTTAAAATAAACTTCGGTGCCGAACATTTCACCCATACGCGAGAGTGACGCGCGGGGATCGTCCGCCTCCTGGGCCGCAGCGGAGAGCGCGGTCTGACTTCGCCCCTTCCTCTGCGCTCCCCTGTGG